GCTGAACTACACTGTGGGACCAGTCTTACTCCCTTGAAAACCACTGGGGTTTTATTGCTGGACATGAGCCAGGTGTTTCATGTGCAGTAACCATAGATTTAATAACACCAATCAAGGTGTATTAAACACGCTAAACTAACTGGATTGTTTGGTCATAATGAGCTATGTTTAGAGTGTTCACACAGTGTGATTTTTTTCATCTTCTCAAGGCCTATAATGTGAACTGTGGACTCATACTACCCTATGGGTTATAAATGTGATACTTGTACTAGGTTAGAGAAAACAACCTTTCTCCTTCTCAGTTTACTTTAATCAAAGTCTGAGGTGAGTTGCACCACTTTTTGCACAGTCTCTAACTTGTTTAAACTTTAACCTTTTGGGCTAACATTTTCCGTGCCAGATGTCTACCTCAGTCTGATTCTGGAGGAATGTTCTTAGCTGTTCAGCTCTGTAGAGGAAATTCTTTCCCAGAGCAATTTCGTGTAGAAGATGTAGCATCACTGTACTTCGGAAAAGAAAAACTAAGATCCAGTAGTGATAAGGTTATGTGGAAAATCTAGTTTCAAGGATGCATTGTCTGGTGCCTCCTGTGAAATATATCCAGATTCAGCCAAGTTATAAACCTTTGGAAAACTGCAGTTTGCACACACCGGGTAGAGGCTTGTAAGTTTGGCAGCTAAATTCTTTGATGTTTCTGTCTGCACAGAACGTGCTCCAGCCTCTGGCTGCAGGGACTGAATAGGATGTTTCTGGCAACAATCTTCTTAATGCCTCTTAGCGCAGAAAACTTGAAGGCACGGAAACTTGTGCTCAGCATCATTTAACTCTGGGAAACCCAAAAGGAAGGTGGAAGGGTCCAGACCTTTAGGAGAGTAGCATAAACAGGAGGCCTACAGCAGCCTAGAGAGGAAGACTGGGGCTGGGGGCTTGGAGTGGCGAAGATACTGGGCCTGGCTGTAAGAAACCTGGTCTGGGAGCAGGAGCAGGAAACTGGAGCCGGAGGCTGATGGAGTGATTGAACCAAAGAGTGGGAAAAGGCTCAGCCAGGCTTGATACCAGGCCATGAGGGCGCAGGAAGCTGGGGTGGTGGCACGGGGGTGGCACATGGAGAGGTGGCAGGGCAGGTGGGCTGAAGGGGTTGTGCTGCCTACACCCCAAGCAGCTAGGAGTGAGCCAAGCATCATGTGAAAAACAGCATGTGTTCATGTAATTGAAGAGTGTTCCAGGATGAATATGCCACAGGAGGCTTGCAAAATCAACCTTCATTTTGGCATTTCCTAATTTTGAATGCTTGCCTTTATAGCCTTAATGTTCTTTTTAATCAAGCTTTTTGTCAGCAATAGGACTAAATGTATGTAATTACATGCTATAGAGGACTATAATATATATAGTTATTTGGTAGTGAGTTTGTGCCAAAGGACAATCATAATGCTATAGTCTGCAAGTCCTGAACAGTGAATGAAGTAGTTGTTGCACTTAGTAAATTATCATGAAATATCTCCATGTCATTTATTTGTGTTGTGTTTGTATATGAGGACTATAATTCTGTTAAACCTCAGCTATGTCAGAGGAGGACAGTGCATTAACATAGATGAATGAAGGGCTGTCTAACTAATGGACTTTCAATAGAGTTAATGCCCAGCAAGAAATTCAACATTGCTTTGAATAACAGATTTTTTTTTTAAATAATCAAGCTTTGGTAATTGAAATTCATTGATGTGAGAATATTTTTCACATAGATATGTACTCTTTTGTTTAATATACAGTGCAATATTAATTATCAAAAGGATATAGTTATGATTCTGTATTGATTTTCGGTAAAAAATGAAAGATCAAGATTTGATTCATGTCAGTATATTTTTCTAAACATCACCTAGTGACGGGGTAGTGGGAAATGAGAGTGCAGCTCTGCAGATAATTGCTAGCGCTCCTAAGTTTTTTTTTTTTCTTTTTCTCTTTCATTTCCTGACAACTGCAGCAGGGACAATATCCAGGACTGTACAGAAAGTAGCTACTTCCGTAGCACCACTGGTGTGTTTATCCAGCACTGGGCACTGGCAATAAATTGCCCTACCTGTGGACTCTCATTATGTATAGCAGTTGGATTTGATGGATGTG